ACCAGTTTGTCAGTTTGTATCTGGAAGTCCCACAGGATCTTAGCTTAGTCATTCTCAACCACCTTTGGCGGTCTATGTCATTTTGATTTTGGGACTTCCAGCCTGTACTCGGCACAGATGTTTATGTACACTATGCCAGCCACTTGGTTATGGCATTCCATGTATGCCCTGCCTGCTAGCATCTTGCACCCTGCTGTTATGTGCTGGATTGTCTCAGGGGCATCTTTGCACAGCCTGCACCTGGGGTCCTGTCTGGTATGGTAGACCCCTGCCTCTATTGATCTTGTACTTAGAGCTTGTTCTTGTGCTACGGGATTAGTGCCTCTGTGCTGTCTTTCAGTCCAGCTTTGTTCAGCCACTGGTAGGATTTTTCAGTATCAGCCACTTCTACTATTTGACGGTGGTACATACCGTGCAGAGGTTTGTCCTTCCATGAGGATTCCTGCTCTTCCTTCCCTAGTGCCTCTGGTTTCTGCTGCCTGTGTTCACTAAGCATGTCATCACTCGGGGCCATCTTCCTGATGTATTCATAGGTCTTTGAAGTTGGCCTCTAGGGTTGTTTTCCACATTCCCATTGAGTTCTTGATGAAGGTTCTTAAGAGTTGTGTTGATGTTGTACAGTTCCAAGCATTCCAGAATCCATGTGTGAGGCACTGAGTCATAGGCCTTCTTGTAGTCAGTCCAGGCAGTCTGATGCCTCCTTCTCCCATATGCTCCTCCAGAACTGTTCAGTCTCCAGCCTTGGTGGGTCTGCTCTCATGTTATTACCCTGCCACTGAGAGTATACCTTGGATGGCTCAGTGGAGAACATTCGGTTTATTCTCCTGGATAAACACATACAGTTAATACAAACAAATAGGGTTTAGCCTGTATCCTACAGTCACATCTACCATAGCCTAGCCTATAAATACTTCAGTACTGTAACACCTCATTTCACAGTATCATACTTTAAAACTCCACCCCATTTGGGTTGTTGTTGTTAAGGTCTGATGTGAACTAAATTAATTCAGGCAAACCATCCCAATGATTATTTATTAGTACAATAATTCTAAGCAGTTCAATAATTTGCAAGGCAGTTCAACAATTGGAAAGATAGGGAACAGAATCACCATCCCTGCAGAGAAATAAACAAAAGTATTAGATAAGATAATTGTCAAAGAATCAGTCAGTCATTGTTGGTCATTGTTAGGTATTTTTAGTCAAATAGACATTGGTTAGACACATTATGTATTAGAAATGTTTAGAGTAGACAGGATGTCTAGCTCAGTCTGTTAAATGCTTAGTCATTCTCATGAGTTACTGCAGGTTGCTTATGGTCAAGGATAACTAGATAAAAAGTTGATGACTGTTAGAAGACAGGATGTTTATTATTATTATTATGACGTGTATAACTGTAGTCATAGCCATAATATTTTCTTATGTTTAATGTCATGACATGTCATTAGAGGTCATGTCAGAATGTTTTAGCTACACACCACATAATCAACAATCACACATTGATTTTCTTCATGCTTTGACTACTGCTATGGCCAGCTGCAAAACTGGTACCGGGAGACGTCATGGTTTGGCGTCTCTCTGAGTAGTATGGGGCTAGCCCAACCAAAGTGATATAATGTATAGGCCTGGTGTGGTTCAGTGTCTTTCATCTTTCAGCTGCCTGCGTGCATGTTGGAGGTGTAAAGATACCTGAGCGTGTAATGTTAATTTTTACCTGTGTTCATTGAATAAATCAGCACTGTTTTGAAGTTACTTGGACTGCTTCGTCTCTCAGAGTTAGCGCGGTGAAAAGTACCGGGTCCAACACCATACAGGACAGTCAAAGTCCTGAGTCGGGTCGCCACTTTCAGCTCAGTATAGAGAAATCGGATAGAAATAGCCGGCGTTAAAGCTTTTGTCGACATCTGTTGGATATTTGGGCTACTGCAGTACATCTCAGATTTCTGTCAGGCAGCTCGGAGGCCACTCAGATGACGACACTTTGGCTGAAGAAGGACCCACAAACGGCGGTTCATCGTTGCCTTTCCGGAGTTGTAGAGCTTTTGTTGGTATAAATGAAACGTTATCCATCTGAAATCAAAGTCATCTTATTAACCACGCTGGTAAATATTTCACTGTACACACGTGCAGCTTGTCCGTAATCGTATGCATATAAAGTGAGTGTACGATCTTAAGTGGTATAGCAAGAAAATAGAGGATGCGCCAGGCAAAGTAACGCTTTGTATGATCGGTGTCTTATCCCGTTGAATATAAGTCGAGTTTTTACAAGTCAGCATAGTTCTTACCTACTAAAATTGTCAGGGCAAACCTAATTAATATTGTACTTTACACCAGCTACATTACCTAATAAAAATAAATTGTTAAGCGTAAAGTTAGTATTCTAGCTAGCTACTTGTAGGCTAACGTTAGCAGTGTTCAACGTTGCAGGCGTATAAACTGCAACATTAACACCTGAGGTTGTGTGTCCAGCAGCCGTTTGAACCCTCCGGTAACTTCTTACTGCTTAAATGTGAGGAAGTCATTAGTTTGTAACGCAGTTAATTATTCCACAGTAACGTTAACTTACTTCCTCTCTGGTGTACTAGGTCAGTTTGAATGTCCGTCCCAAATAGGCACCTCATCACTCATAGTAGAGCCGTGAAAAGCTAACGTTATGGGAGAACCTGTTTATAGCATTTACAGAATTGTTCGCTTTCACTATAACTTTTCCTTCCCTCTCCTCTACAGTTTTGAGCCGGGCCGAGCGCTCTGTTTGCTGCCCCTGAATAACCTCGTTAGGTGTATAGTGATAGGGAGCCATGTTTCTGTACAACCTGACCCTGCAGCGTGCCACTGGCATCACTCATGCCATCCATGGAAACTTCTCAGGTGGGTTTGCTCAGGATGCTTTTATCTGTCCTTTTCTTCCTGCTCTCTGTCCCTGTTTGATTTGAAGTTAATGCTATTTGGCGATTTTAGTATTATTTAAGTACACCTATCCATGCAGTAGTTGTCAGGACATGCAAACACAGACATATGTTAATGATGTTGAAATCACTGTGGCAATTTTTCTCTGTGAATGAAAAACAGATTTTAGTGAAAAATCTCATTAAACCGATTCCTAATTTTCAAACACCTATGTAACATGTGCTGAATGCTGAAAGAAGGTTTGTGTTTTGGTAGGAACCAAGATGCAGGAGATTGTTGTTTCCAGGGGAAAGATCTTGGAATTACTGCGGCCAGATGCCAACACAGGAAAGGTGCACACTCTACTCACAGTAGAGGTGTTTGGTATAATAAGATCCCTGATGGCCTTCAGACTCACTGGAGGAACCAAAGGTGTGTAACTAGTTCTACTTGTGTTGGTGAAAACAAACATGGATTTTATAATTAAAGTTTGTGCAGAGTTAGCCACTGTGCTTGTATTTTAAGAGAAGGACACCTTTGTCATATCTCACACTACTGTATGTTGTATTGATGTCTGTGTGTGTTTTGTAGACTACATTGTTGTGGGAAGTGACAGTGGCCGTATTGTAATCCTGGAATATCATCCATCGAAAAACATGTTTGAGAAGATCCACCAGGAAACGTTTGGGAAAAGTGGCTGCCGACGTATTGTCCCTGGACAGTTCCTGGCTGTTGACCCAAAAGGCAGAGCTGTTATGATAGGTACAAATTCACATCAATATTTTAATAAAACGAACAGATCTTTGACTTTGCTCCTAGTGGTGGTTGTAGATACATTCTACTTTGTAGATGGGCATGATTTCAAAGGTTCAAAGATTTTTATTGTCAGTTCACTATATGTGCAGGACATACAGAAAATTGAAATACCGTTTTGCTCTCTCCTAGTAATGAGTGCTATGCCATTTAGGAACTTATATAGAATAAAAGTAGAATAAAAAGTAGAATAAAATAGAATAAGAAAAAGGATTAAAGTAATTGGGATAAAAGCAGTACAACCAATAGGCTATGACAAAAAAAACAATGGACAGCATTCAGCATCCTCACAGCCTGGTGGATAAAGCTGTTTGTAGGTCTGGTGGAGTGGGCCTGGAGACTCCGGTACTGTCTCCCTGAAGGCAGATGTCTGAGTTGGGAGTGTGAGGAGTAGGAGGTGTCGTCAGCAATGCTGAGGGCTCTGCAGCTGAGGTAGATGTTAAAAATGTCCATGAGGGAGGGCAGAGGTGCGCTGAAGATCTTACTGACTGTATTCACTATACGTTGCAGAGTCCTTCGGCAGGAGGCAGTACAGCCTCCGTACCACACCGTGATGCAGCCAGTGGTGACGCTCTCAATGGCGCCCCGGTAGAAATAGCGCATGATGGGGGGTGGGGCGCTATCTCTCAGTTTGTGGAGGACGTAGAGCCATGTTTGAGCCTTCTTGGCCAGTGATACTGTGTTGTTGGTCCAGGAGAGGTCCTCAGAGATGTGCACTTCCAGGAACTTGGTGCTGTTCACTCTCTCCACAATAGCACCATCAATGGTCAGTGGGGGATGCTTTATAGGTTTTCTCCTGAAGTCTCTCTTTAGTCTTCCCCACATTGAGGAAGAGGTGGTTGTCCTTGCACTACTGGACCAGTTGGTACATCTCCCTCCTGTAATTGGCCTCATCATGATTTATGGAATAATAGATCTTATGTATAATCGGAGATCTTTGATTTTCTGTGAATAATGGTGCAATTTTTAAAAAATGTATGTTACTGTATGTGCTGTATAGTGTTTCCTAACATTACAGGGTTTCTTTTTTTTTTTAAGGAATGGCTGGTATATTTATATTACACAACCAAAAGTGAAATGAAATTAACCTTTTTCTATGCCCTTTGTCTTTCCCTTGTCTAGGAGCAATAGAAAAGCAGAAACTGGTTTATATTCTGAACAGAGATGCAGCTGCAAGACTGACTATCTCCTCTCCACTGGAAGCACATAAAGCAAACACACTGGTCTACCATGTAGTTGGAGTTGATGTCGGCTTTGAAAATCCCATGTTTGCCTGCTTAGAAATGGACTATGAGGTAAGGTCATGACAGCTCAAGATAATTCCTTAAAATAATACACACAGGCTTGTAAGATCACACATTAAGTGCATTGTAGATGTGATGAGTTTCTTCTGTCAGTGGAGCAAGATTTAACATCTTTGATCTCGGCACGAGATTAATTTTCAAGTGTCAGTAGTAACAAGTATGCTCTAGTATTCTGACTTTTTTTATTTTTTATCTTTCTTTAATATCAATATTCCAACTCCTCACAATGGATTAATTTTTCCAACATCTGTTGAGGTGTGTTGATAATTTCTTTTTCCAGGAAGCTGACAGTGACCCGACAGGAGAAGCTGCTGCCAACACACAGCAGACACTTACCTTTTATGAGCTGGACCTCGGCTTGAATCACGTCGTTCGCAAGTACAGTGAAGCTTTGGAAGAGCACGGAAATTTCCTGATCACTGGTAAGCATTTGGGGGCACGTTTGTACACCTTAGGACTGAAATGCCTATCTGCTTCAGTAGTTAGCTGTAGAGGAAACCAGCACATACACAAAGTAGAATAAAGTTGCCGTAGAAGACTGTCAGGACTGATACTGGAAACATCTGTAGACTAGACAGCACTGAGAGTGTGCAGCCTCTGCCAAAGGGTGACTCAGTTTCCTCATCATAAAGCCATAACAATATTCCCATAATAGTTTGACCTCATAATTTGGAATGATACTGATATTATTATTATTAGTTTGAAAGTTATTCAAGAAAAAAGAGTAGATATGACAGATATTCACTAGTTGGTATATGGGTTAAACAGGGACTTCATTGAGCGGTCTACGGGCAAAGCGGTGATGTCACATTTTTGCAAGGTGGTGGTGTGCTTATTCAACAGCTGTTTGATAAACTGCTTAGAAGTCTCCGCTACTGGGTGACTGTTGTTTTATGAAGTGATACTTCACGTCCTCTGCTTAGCTGTGTGAGTGAGAGGAGCACAGCCCATCCCTCCTATAAAAATAGACCAATAGAGGAAAAATAAGGTGGAAAAGCAAAGTAGGACAGTCTGCCTCAGCCCATCAGCAAGTTTTTATGCGTCACTCGGTTTCTCTCCTGCATCTTTATGGCATTCATTGACGGGAAAGTTGCCTCACAGGTGTAGGTGGAAGGAAACATATAAGCACATAAAAAAGCAAGCTTCTTGAGTGTGCTGTAATCCTCAGAGCAGATGAGACACACAGGCTTGGCGTTCACAAAACAAGGTGGGATGAAAGCATACCTGTCCTTCCATTCTTCTTTATATGTTCTGTTTTCATTGTCAACTTTCCTCTTTAGGCCTTTCGAAAGCGACATTGTTTACTTGCTAGCTTAAATGTGGAGCCAATTGTAACTACGCAAATAGCGACAACAACATTTGCAGATGAGGGGGCGGGAATAATATTTCTTTATTTATGTAATTATTTTATTAGTTTACTCATTTACTTTTACAAGTCAGCACAATGCTTATATTGTTATGTATATATAACCCTTAAATTTCAAAATATATTGATATAATATATTGATGGCCCACCATCTGATGACGTAGGAAAAAATGCCCCGAGGCCACACCAACTTGCCGACACCTGGCTTAGGCTGATGCAAGGGATCTCACTGCTAATGCAAATATGGCAGAATCATTGTCATGTGAGACTGAGATCATATAGGGATCTGAATCGTGCTCAAAAAGCCCTGTTGACAGTGAACAGGCAGCTGTCGCTGACCCAGGGATGTGATTCCGTATGTGCTCAGTAGCACAGAAATGGACTATGAGGTAAGGTCATGACAGTATGTGCTCAGTAGCACAGCTACAAAGGGGCTCACATACAGTCAACAGCCATACCAGCACTCACAGTGGTTAATAATCTTTAAAAATATTCCTTTTCCAAATTATGATAGGGATCAGTACCATCTTATTAGTTGTTCAGTGGGCTATACCCCCACCTCTCCAAAAAAATTTCTTTTTGAGGTAATGCTGTTAAAAAAAAGAAAAACAAACCAACAAATGCCAGCACAAACATAACCCCTAGCCTTGGTGGTGGTAAATATGGAACTTTTTAAGGTTTGAGTTGTTTGGTAAATTACAGAAGCAATCTAGCCACAAGCCAGTGACTTCTGTGCCGGTCCCAAGCCCGGATAAATAGAGGGGGTTGCGTCAGGAAGGGCATTTAGCGTAAAAACATTAAGTTAAGTTAAAGTCAAGTTAAATTACAGAAGCTTTGTATCAAGCATCAAAGTGTTGTAGATATGATGAGTTTGTCATGTCTCTTCTCTGACTCACTCACTGGAGAAAGATTTAACATCTCTGATCTCAGCACATGAGTTTAAGACAGACTTATAAACAGTGTACTAAGGGGATGCATTGGATTGGAAAATGAAGCCTATCCTGCTTTTGTACTCCACTTTTTTAACAATTAAAATAATCCCACTAAAACCTTTCTGTATAGTTCCTGGTGGTTCAGATGGGCCCAGTGGAGTTCTGATCTGCTCTGAAAACTACATCACTTACAAGAATTTTGGAGACCAACCTGATATTCGCTGTCCCATCCCACGGCGCAGGGTGAGTCGAAACACTTTTTGTTTAGCTTTATCTTGGTCAACTCCACCACACATTTCTTGCAAGGGTTTGAGTATCTTTGATGACATCATCCTACTGAAATTGTCATTTTATGAGTTGTAATGTAATTCAGTACAGATTCATACACCGATCAGGCATAACATTATGATCACTGGCAGGTGAAGTGAATAACATTGACTATCTGTTACAGTCCTCAAGTTGATGTGTTGAAAGCAGGAAAAATAGGCAAGTGACTTTGATGAGGGCCAAACTGATGGTGAGATGACTGGGTCAGAACATCTCCCACACTGCAGGTCTTGGTGGGTGTTGTTGGTCTGCAGTGGTTAGTACCTACCAACAGTGTCTAAGGAAGGACACATGGTGAACTGGAGACAGGGTCATGGATGCCCACTGATGATGAGGTTGACCTACTGTAGATTAAACTTTGTACTTTTCAGAAGATTAAAATTTATTTTAATCTTTGTTAAAATGGTTGTAAATGAAAAATACTGTCCATTGGTCTCTATGAAGAGAAAGAGTCAGGGGCTGTAGTGGTGATATCACATCTAGAGTGATGAGGCTGTTGAATTTATCAAAAAAAATTCTCTCTAACTTGTCCTCATGACCACAGTTTTCACTCCTTTTACCTCAGTTTTTCACTGAATTGTAGACGCATCTCTGCTCTTCCTGACAGTAGAACTGTGGAAGCAAATGGATTAACAGAAGATGCACAGTGAGCTGCAGAGTGACACGAGTGCCAACCAACTGCTGCATTGACTCCTATGTAAACAGTATTAGGCAGGTGGTCATAATGTTATGGCTGATTGGTGTATGTTTATTTGGAAGATGTTATGATTTAGGTCATTACACCCACTCTATATTTTATCTCTTGTCTGCTCTTTTTGTCCTCTGTATGCACATTTATTTTTAGTAATTTTTGTCATCTGCCCCATCCTACAGAATGACCTGGATGACCCTGAGCGGGGCATGATATTTGTCTGCTCAGCCACCCACAAGACCAAGTCCATGTTCTTCTTCTTGGCCCAGACTGAGCAGGGAGACATCTTTAAGGTTACCCTGGAGACAGATGAAGAAATGGTGAGCAATGATGAAAGGGTAGCATTTGCTCTAGAAATTGATATGTTGGGTAATCTATTATGTTTTTTTGAGTCACCTGCTTTGCATTGTATGGTATAGCCCTGTCAAAGAGTGTATATTTTGAGTAAGTCTGTGTGGCTTTGTAGGTGACAGAAATCAGGCTGAAGTACTTTGACACAATCCCTGTGGCAGCAGCCATGTGTGTCCTCAAGACCGGCTTCCTGTTTGTGGCTTCAGAGTTTGGAAACCAGTAAGTCTTAGGCTATACATGACTCTGCATTTACTTTCTTCTCTTCCTCTCTCACGGAATCTATTTTAATAGCCATTGTAGGAATATGGCTCCTTTTATGCTTTTGTACATTATTTTCCCCTTACAGGTTAAAACCTTTTGTTAGCTTTTTTTCCATCAAACTTCTTTTGTTGATGTCATACTTCCCCTATCAGTTACCTTTACCAAATCGCCCACTTGGGTGATGATGACGACGAGCCAGAGTTCTCTTCTGCAATGCCGCTGGAAGAGGGAGACACCTTCTTTTTCCAGCCCCGGCCACTCAAAAATCTGGTGCTGGTAGATGAACAGGAGAACCTATCACCCATCATGTCTTGTCAGGTCAGTGTGTTTATGGTTGCTTGCTCTTACACTGTCATGACAGTGGGACCTATAAATTAATGCTAGCTGCACTGCTGTAACAAAGTCTTGTTGCCTCATCATCTACTCTCTACCTGCTTATAACAGATTGCTGATTTGGCCAATGAAGACACACCTCAGTTGTATGCGGCCTGTGGACGGGGACCCCGGTCTACTATGAGGGTCCTTAGACATGGACTGGAGGTACACACACTTTTTGTAACATATGCAGGCACAAGGAGCAACACACACAGAGCTGCCTGTAAAAGTAGAAAAAGTGGAGTGTGTCTCAAAGTTGAAGAGTCACTCGATGCACTTTTTCAGCTGACTGTATGAAAGATGAACAAACCCTCTGTGACATCACCCATTGGTTTTCTGAAGAGTGGTTTTGAAGCTCAAGTCTGGCCAGAGGTGGTGCATGAGTGGAGCTTACTATATGCTAGCAGCTAGCCACCTGTGGCAGGACCCTCCCACCTGTCACTCAAAGCAACCGCGCTTTTAAATATGCATAATTTTTAGCATCGATATAATTTAAACAGGCGAATTATATAAAAATTCAACCTCGTACAGTAGGGCTGTCAATTTTTCCTCAATTTCAAACATTCACTCAAAAATGGTAAAAAAATAAAAAAGAAAATTCTAACTTTAATGACCTATTCAAATCCAAAAATGTGCTCTATGTCAATAAGTGCAACAGACATTTTGAGGCTGTATTATATTATGTGGGTTGGATTAGAATGAATTACATAACAGTTTGAAAATCTTTTGAATGTGATTTTTTTTGGCAAAAGTGACAGCTTTATCAGTTGTCATAGAAGGGAAATTAGCTCTAGAGACCAAAACTGTTTTTTGTACCAGGCTGTAAACATGTTTGTTTCAACTGTAAAGTTGGTCATTCTAACATGGGAGTCTATGTGAACTGGCTCCCTTTTGGAGCCAGCCTCAAGTGGCTGTTTGGGGAAATGCAGGTTTTAACACTTCTGCATTGGCTTCTTTTCTCAGCCTTGGTATCAACATGACACAAACAAGCAGTGGTTGTGCGCTGGTTGGTAGGTGTTTTGGTTCAGGTTCTGTATCTGTTTACACTTTTAGTCTCATGAGTACAGATCACACCTGTGAGTAGACTCTCAAAGTCATGCTGCATCACCTGCAGAGAAGATGTTTGTCCTGTTAAGTGATCTGTGCTCAGTGCGTGCACTAACACTATAAAGATGTGCTGACGTCAGTTCAGCTTTATACTCAAGACATTATCAAATGTTACTACATACACACACGGCAGTCTACAATCAGCTCAACTGTCAATCAAACAAAGTCTGTGGGATTTAATCGACTGGAACTCTTGGGCTCTCTCAACACTCTACATCTGTTTGTGCATTTTATTAAAGAGGGAAGGAGTATTACATAACCTAAGGAGCTTAAGGTTTTATTGCAAAAGTACAGACAGTGTAGAACTGTGTTTTCAGCAGTTTAGATGCCCATTATCTTTATGTTGTCATGTACTTCAATAGCACATCCACCTTTGAGTGGGTTTTGTGACTAAATAGATATGTGTCTGATATACAATAAAATCCATATTGTTGTAGATTGCATGAGACAGGCCTCAGATCCCACATTCAAACACAGTATAATAGATTCCTCCTGACTTTTCAGGCAGTGATAGAATCTGTGATATCTAATATGTTCAACGTTAAACCCTCTTTCTCTGTTTTGTGTTTTATCCCCGCTTCCTTCTCTATCGATCTGTCTCAGGTGTCTGAGATGGCTGTGTCTGAGCTGCCTGGTAATCCCAATGCCGTGTGGACAGTACGCAGGCATGTGGAAGGTACAACTCTCCTGGTTTTTTTTCCTAGCTTCTCATAAATTTCATTCATTTACATTGATGTCCCAGTCAATGAAAATGCCACCAGAGATGGTACAGTATGTTGTGTTGCTGATAATTTTTTTTTCTCAGCAGTTCACCTTAAGGCTGACAGAATTTTCAGTTATAATATTCAGATTAATCTCATTCAATCAACACTTCAATCATTACTCATTTGTCTTTGTTTTTCTTCCATTTTTTCATTAGATGAGTTTGATGCCTACATCATTGTATCTTTCGTCAATGCTACTCTGGTTCTGTCTATCGGGGAGACTGTGGAGGAGGTGACAGATTCTGGGTTTCTGGGAACAACGCCCACTCTCTCCTGCTCACTGCTCGGTGAAGACGCTCTGGTGCAGGTGAGTGAAATGTGTCTTCAGCATCATTGTCATTCATGCTCTTGAGGATGCTGTGCCTGTTGTTTCAGTATTATCTAAAGTATTAACATCACAAGCAAGCAGTCCTGACATTTTTTTTAATTTTATTATTACTTCACAAACAAAAAAATAATCTGTCTTCAAGGATGGTTTCTCATGTAAATGAAATAAAAATACGTTTGTTAAAATAGTCTTTATAATACACAGATAAATTGTATTAAAAATCTCTAGTCAGCTAACATGGTGTCTGTAATGAATCCCTCAGTGCTCTGGGTTTTATGTTTCTGTATCTGTAAACATTAACAACAGTATACAAGATGGTATGTTGGGAGAAGAAAATAGTGAATACAAAGTTGCATCAACAAGAAACAGACCAACCCAGTGTGTAGTGTCTTTCTCTTTCCTTCTTGAGGCATTCTTCTCTTACCCTGTTTGTCCGCACAGGTGTACCCAGATGGGATCCGTCACATCCGAGCAGACAAGCGTGTGAATGAGTGGAAAACTCCTGGTAAAAAAACAATTGTCCGCTGCGCTGTGAACCAGCGGCAGGTGGTTATTGCCCTCACTGGAGGGGAGCTGGTCTACTTTGAAATGGACCCGGTAAGAAGGATGTTGCTTTGTGTGTATACTGTGTACTTTTAAAATTAAAGATTTCCACAGAAATGGAGTATTATCAAAATTGTCATTGATGACATTTATAGAAAAACCCAGTACCTGTTAACCCTCCTGTTATGTTGCGGGTCAAATTGACCCACGAACATAACTGCTTTAAATGAGAAAAATATTTGATATGAAGAAATGAACATAACAGGAGGGAACCCTCCTGTTATGTTCATTTCTCAGGTGATGCCTGCTCAGCAGTTATGTTCGTGGGTCAATTTGACCCGCAACATAACAGGAGGGTTAAACTACAACCTTGGATATGACAGCACAATTTTTTTCCCCTAATAATTTGTATTTACTGCAGAGATGCACTTAAGTACAGCTAATAACTAATATTGAAAACTAAAAGTCAGTAATACTGTCACTCTTTGTTTCCCCCTCCTTAATATCTCTAGTCCGGCCAGCTGAATGAGTACACAGAGAGGAAGGAGATGTCTGCAGATGTGGTGTGTATGAGCCTGGCCAACGTTCCACCTGGTGAGCAGCGCTCCCGGTTCCTGGCTGTGGGACTGGTTGACAACACTGTCCGAATCATTTCCCTGGACCCATCGGTATGAATAGACATAGACACTTGTTGAAATAGTTATCCTGCTCCAGAGCTATTTAGCAGCCAAATAAATGCACCAGCATCTAGTGTGAAACGATGACATGAATCACCTGCTTGAAATAGACATACCCAGTATGCAGTCTTTTTCTTTTCCCATCTTCTCTTACCCTCACTTTATTTTTAGGTTCACTACAGAGTCTTGCTTCAGGATGAGATACAGCTAAAATAATAACTTAAAGAAAGGCAGTCTATATATTTGCCTGTCAGCCAAATCAAATGACTAAATGCTAATGTCCAGCTGTGCATTGTTAGTCCTCAACCGTTTGAGAATATTACTTGTCAGGATTTATTAACATGTGCTTGTCATTACTTTTATATTTGATATCAAGTTAAGGAGTTTACAAAGCTCATATAAAACTACATAACTGGCTGAAGATGGGGGAGATGATGTAATTTTCTTTTTAGGTGTAAGATTACAGAATTACTGTAATTGAAACTCCTGAAATTATGCAGTGCAATTAAGCTGCTAACATTGGCTCTCAGTCACATCCACATTACATTCATCAGACTGACTATGTTCTTTGTTAAATGAGAAAACAGAGAAACAAAGCTTCCAAGTGTTTCTTGATAGACATCCAGGATTTAGTAAAAAAAAGCTGTATGCCTGTTAGTTGGTACAGGGATATAAATGGTGAGAACACTAAACTGTTTACCACAGTCCTGGTAGATTTAGTTTATATTTTATTAGCGTGTATCAAGGATGTCATATTTCCCAGTCTCTGACAAGCATTAAATTTTGACTTCAATGTCCCTACAGTTAACCCAATCCCAATAGATGATTTCCAGTGCTGTTTTACTGTATATGTGAGGAGGAGAGCACTTTTTAATCTCCATGTTTGTGTGCATACACTGTATTGACACTGTTATGTGTGTTCAGAGTTGTCTGAATCTTCTTTGTGTTCAGGACTGCCTACAGCCGCTGAGTATGCAGGCCCTGCCAGCCCAGCCAGAGAGCCTGTGTATTGTAGAGATGGGAGGCGTCGAGAAACAGGATGAACTTGGAGAAAAAGGAACCCTCGGCTTTCTCTACCTTAACATAGGTCTACAGGTAAAATTTCGCATTCATCTTAATGCGGTGGTTTTCAACTGATTGTGACCCAGGGACTACCACTGTGACTAACAAGCACTCTGAGGACCACTGTTGTGTAGTAGATAGACAGTACTATTTTAATCTCGAAAGTCACCCTGGCTTTGCTAAATATTATATATTTGCATGAATTTTATTAATAAAATACGTAAAATGAATAGTGATTTGCATGGGGAAATTACATTATCACGGACTACCTGCACTGCCTGCGTAGACCACCAGGGAGCCGCAGCGCACTGGTTGAAAACCCCTGTCTTATTTCATCAGATTTTTAGTGTTCCTGAAGAAAAAGGCTGTTTTGCTATAATGGCAGTAGTCATGTACTGTGTATCACTGTAGCTTTTAGATCATGTCATTCAGTATGGTGTGTTTGTTTTTGATGCTCTTTCCCAGAATGGTGTGCTGCTGAGGACAGTTTTGGACCCAGTGACAGGTGACCTGTCAGATACCAGAACACGCTATCTGGGGTCCCGACCTGTCAAACTCTTCCGAGTCAAGATGCAGGGGCAGGAAGCTGTATGTGACTCGTACATTTACATACAATTAATTTTGAAATAGAATATGCTAATACATCTTCAGTGTAAGAAGAAGTACATTGTATTGTCACTGTAACACGTACACCGAAATTTTGTTTGGAGCTGAGGGCCCCGGGCCGCTGCGTGCATACGTGCCGCCATCACGGGCAACTTGGGAGGATTCAATCTCTTGCCCAAGGACATTTTGACATGTGGACTGCAGGCACCGAGATTCGAACCTCCAACCTTCCAGTTGGGAGACTGCCGCTCTACCCACCGCACCACTGTCTCATAAAACGATGCATTTGTTTGATTTCATGAAAGTGCTGATCACACCGAGCAAGTCATTTTTAGCTCAAAACCTGTAGGGATTTGTTTTGTGTTTTTGGGTCATTTATAAGACCTAATAACTTTTTGTGTAATAAGTTAATAGGTAGATTGTTGTGAAAATAATGTAGTTGTAGCTGTATAATTGTCGCCTGTCTATTCTGACAGGTTCTGGCAATGTCCAGTCGCTCCTGGCTCAGCTACTCGTATCAGTCCCGCTTCCACCTGACCCCTCTGTCATATGAGACTCTGGAGTATGCCTCTGGCTTTGCCTCTGAGCAATGTCCAGAAGGTATAGTGGCCATCTCCACCAACACACTGAGGTATGGATGCACACTGCTGTTTACATACAATGTTGGCAGTCTGTTTTTAATCATTTCAAAGTCCTGAAAAAGTTTAGGAAGGACATATAGACTGAATATATACATATTCTGGCATATAGACTGCAAGTGTGACAGCCATAAGACAATTAGTTGCATGCCTACTGTCCTGAATGTTTGCCATTATTGGCTTTAAATGGCAATTTTGTTCCTCAGTATTTGTCATTAGCTTTAAATGGCAATTTTGTTCCTCAGTCAACAATAAGCACATGTTTGAAAACCACAATTTCATCAAGACTTCAAAGTCTGATTTTTTCAGTGACTTGCATCTGTTCATAAATATCTGTGTGTCAGGCCTATGGATATGGTACATGGACACCACAAGTACTGAGACTATTTTATTGCTAACAGTGAAGACAACTGACAACTAGAAGCAGGTTGAAGACAGTTGTTTTGTGTCATTTTATAATACATCTGGTGTTTAGTGTTGTGGTGTGACAAACAGAAAGTCTATGTTGCCCTGTAAATTAAGTATCTGTGGTTGGACAGACAGAACAGCTCAGTGGAGCTTTGCTCTGCCTCCCAAATTAAAAATGATTTATAGCCCCCCCCCCCTTTTTTTTTCTTCTCATTATCTGACTGACAGAATCTTGGCTTTGGAAAAACTAGGAGCCGTCTTCAACCAAGTGGCCTTTCCTCTCCAGTATACACCCAGGAAATTTGTAATCCACCCGGAGACCAACAACCTAATTTTGATTGAGACTGACCACAACGCCTACACTGAGGCAACCAAAGCTCAAAGAAAGCAACAAATGGCTGAGGTATGAAATGCAGAGCCAAATAAATTATGCCTAAAGCCTAAAATCTGCTCTGTGAACAGTAATGCATTGATTAAAGCAGTGAAGTGGTGTGTTAGTTAGGTCAGTTATTTTTTTTCCAGGTTAGAGTTTAAAAAGAAAGACTTAATCATATGTAACAGACACTTTTGTTCTTCCAGTGTTGTGTGTACTCGGAGACCACACAGGCTGAGTGCTAAGACCACTTTTCTCACATTTCGGTAACTTTAAGGCCTGACTATAGCTCAGGGTTTCGGTTATGGAGATTGATTGTGTGGGGTCAGAGTAGGGGTGAGCAGTTATGTTTGGCCAAAGACCAGTTTTTCACAGTTCACTGCAGCTTTAACAGAAGCAGTGGTGAGCCATACCCCAGTGTGTTTTGCCTTATTTTTGGAACTTTTAGCTTTCATATGAAAATTAAAAGCGGTAGATTTATAAAATTTTGTCTACTCTCTTTACTTCCTGTTATAGTTTCAGAGTGAGCCATAGTCTGTGCTGTATTGCAGTTAAATGTTTGCTGTGTGCTTTTATCTTTTCCTTATTAATACCAGGTCACCTAATGAAATATAGAGATACTGAGATAGTATATTACATAATTATTTAATGTAGTACTATGACAGCAGTTGTGTAAGATTAGCAAAAGTGTCTCTATACTTGTATCTTACCCACCTACTATTGTATTTTCTGAAGCATGTGTGTCAGGCCTCTACTACTGGGATGCTGACTGCTGTCTACTTGTGTGGCATTCTCTTGACTTTGTTTGTTTTGATGTAAATAAGCTGTGGGAATGAAGGGTCACCTTAATCGTACTATACTGGGATCTCTGAAAAAGGCAGATGGCTCTAGATGGTCAAAATGCCATGGTGTCTCCTCAGTTGACCGCTAATGTTGTGTATTGCCATTGTCCCTGCAGGAGATGGTGGAGGCTGCTGGTGAGGATGAAAGAGAACTAGCTGCAGAGATGGCTGCTGCCTTCCTCAATGAGAATCTACCAGAAGCCATCTTTGGTGCACCTAAAGCTGGAGCAGGGCAGTGGGCATCACTGGTTCGTCTTGTCAACCCCATACAGGGTTCAACGCTGGACCAGGTGCAGCTGGAGCAGAACGAAGCTGCATTCAGGTGAGCAGGATCAATTTCTCAGCTTTGTCCATGTGGAGGAGTAGAGAATTGCCTTCAGATAAGGAGTGAATGAACAGACAGGTGGATGGCAAAAACACAAGTGTGGGTATCAAACCAAAGCTTGGGAAAGAGAGTCAGGGACACTGAACCAGTGCTCCGCCTTCTGTTAAAGTGGGGGCTTGTTTACAGGTGATTGTAGTGAAGCTTAGAGCATTATTGATGGAAAAATACTGGACATAGCTTTCCTTCTTGTGTGTAACTAATGTTTACCATGAACAAATATTGTGCACTCATTGTAAAAGGCTGCTGTTTAGCTTAAAGAAGTTGGGAAACTGCTTGTAAAAGTTGATTGCTCTTTAGGTTGGGAAGTCAGGACATGAGCAATCTCCTGATAAGAAAACACACATGGTGACCTGACCCCACGAATGGAGGGGACAAATGCTTGCCTGGCAGAACAAAGAGTAATAAAACTGCAATGAATACTATAAGTAGCTCTCACAGAGATTGCTCCTCTTAGCAGTATTGTCAAAGACTTCTTGGGTGTTGATGTAGTGCTCCTTCTTGCAAGAATAATTAAAGATGCCTTGATAATTTTCAAAAGTGTCAGTATTTAAAATTTGAAATGCAAGCACTTAGAGCTGGAGGAAAGCCTCATATGATGGCATGTGATAGCTTTGAATTTGAAGTGTTGTGTGGGTGGGGTAGTGGTAAATCAGGTAATGTATTCCAGAGTCTGACCCTATTTGTTACTTTTACACTAATTGACAGTCAGCCACCAAAACTCCCAGCAAAACTCTCAAATTCTAATCAGGCTGTTTCCTGGCTCACTGTATTAGCAGCATTGTTTAGGCCTGCCAGAACAGATTAGAGGATATTTTCTTCACACTGACCTCAAGCACTTTAAAGACCTCCTAAACTCAAAAACATGGGTTTTTATGTTTTATGCCTTAAAATGGCAGACATCTACTGTACTGACAGGTGTATGTGCACAGTTTGTCACTAACAGGGTGTTTTCACATTATTCTGCTGAAGAGGGCAGTGTCAGTTCGCTTCCCAGAAATCCAGATGTCAAATGTCCACCAAGTAAACCAAATTTGTAACACAAATCTTAAAGCCAATCACAGCTTATTATGCAAATGCAGGGTTCAACAGCGACTGCTGAAACCTGATACCCAAAACCTCTGTCCTTGGATCAGCTAGAGATAACTTTTGAGTGACAGGAGTGAGTGTTTGCTAAAGCTGTCTGACAGTGAATATGCCAGAGTGTACAGTTTTTGGATGTAAACCAGACCCTGGAGCTTCTTTACACTATATAATCACTATTTAGCTAACACTGAGATGGTGTGAGACACGTACCATTATTAACAGCTCGTTAGCTATGTTTTTGGATTCTGGCTTTTTGGCTAGATTAACTTTTGAATTAAATTTAAAAAATGAAAAGATACTGACATGCTAATGCGCAACTAGTTACTGGTGTTTAACACCTAGTATTATCTTAAGCTGTGTTAGGCTCACTGCTAACACTAACAGTTAACCTTGTGCTAATGGTTAACTTGAGCAAGAATAAAGAGATACTGACATACTATCAAACGTTACAAGATGGTATGAGGCACTTACTGCTGCTGGAGTATTAACAGCAAACCATAAATATACAACAGGGAAGGCTAGGCTTGGCTCACTGTTGAACTGAGTGCAAACTTATCATGGTCTCACTCTGCTGATTGTGTAGCAGCCTCAAATGTTTTAGTGGACCTGATGTTAGGAGGAAATATGGTTTTTACATTTTTGATAGTGTGTTACACTGTGGGTCATATTTCACCCTTTTTCCCCTTTTCCTGTGTTTAATATTTTTCAGCGTGGCAGTGTGTCGTTTCACCAACACAGGAGATGATTGGTATGTTTTGGTAGGTGTTGCCAGAGACATGATTCTCAACCCCAAGTCAGTGGGCGGTGGTTTTATCTACACTTACCACCTCACCAGTGGAGGGGAGAAGCTGGAGTTTGTGCACAAGGTGGGTTTGATTGACTTCAGTTAAATGATACTTGGGTTGCTGACATGAAAATTGCTGCTGCATTTTTTTTTTTCTTTTCTTCTTGGATATTGATTCTGGATTATATCTTGCTCCGAAACTCACTCATTCACATATAGATGGCTGAGAGGAGAAATCAGATTGATTGACTGCCAAAATTTTGCTGCAACTACAACTTTTTCGTCTCTAGGTGGTGACATCAACATATCTATATATTGTGCAGTTCTGAACTG